ATATCTTTCTCAGATAGTGACTTTCTCTTCTTAGGAACTTGTCGAAGTCTTGTTTGTAAATCAGACCTCCTTTTCACTAGCTGACGTTGTTCTTGATTTTTTGGTGCAGCTGGCAAAGCTGAAAGAAATGAATGATTTTGTTGGATGGATGGTAGTGTGGGTCTTGAATGACGCCTCCTCCTTCGTGGTTGAACTGGAATCCACCCATCATCATCATTGTCAAAGGCAGGAAACTCAGAGTTTGAACACCATCCAGTCGGCTTTATCTCTGGATAGATACCATACATGATTTTATGAGGATCTGGGAGTGGCATTCCACTAGATACTAGATTACGGTGTTTTCTACTCTTACTAATGAAGGTTGACCAACCATCGCCAACCTCATCTTCAGACTCAGATGATGATTCCCAATCTTCAAGATTCACCGTCATAAGGTCATATAAAGAAAGAGAGCCTGGACCTCCAGAAGTAGGCATGTCAGGATAAGCATAGGCTATCTTTTCTTCATCATCTGTTTGAAATTTAACTTGAATTGCCCCCTTGGGCAAGTGGGGACCAAACTCCTTAGGCTGAACCATTAGTGGGGTTCGTTGCACAGGCAGGAGTGGAACTGGATTGAAGGATCCAAAGGAAACCATGGCAACATTGGTGGTAGCGGAACCTTCTTCACTTTCTAGTTGTATTTTGCCTTCTTTCTCAAGACGAACTATCAAATCTTTCAACACAAAACACTTACCGATTGGATGACTCACAATTCGGTGATACTTACAGTATTTTGGATCATTTACTCTCCCAACTTCCTCTGGGCGCTTAGGAGCTGGAAGTTCAATTAAGTTTAGCGCCAACAATTGCTCAAAGATAGCTGGCACTTCAGAGTCTGCAAATGGATACTCCTTTTGTTGCAACTCTTTCAAGGTAGACTTCTTCTTTTGACCCTGATCCTCAACATTCTTGACACCTTGTTTAGGATTTGGCTTTGGCTTTTGTTGTGAGATCTTTACAGGCGCTGTTGTGACTGCCATAGTTTCTTTTGCTTTTGAAGGTTTCACTTCCTTCTTCACATCTTTTCGAGACTCTTTTTTATCATGAGCGTCTGTTGGAAGAAAGTTGCCATGCCTAGCAATTTGAATTTCCAAGTCATGGGCACGAGTGGCCAATTCTTCAAAGGTATGTGGCATGTTAGCCTGAAGGTTATACAACAATCCCCAATGCATACCTTGCACGCACATATCAATAGAAGAGATCTCACTAATCTTTTCTCGACAGTTTAGGACGAGATTCCTCCATCTTTCAATGAAGTCTGTCACAGACTCGTCTTTCTTTTGCTTGGTGTTAGCAAGCTCAGGCAGGCTAACAGTACGCTTGGTACTATAAAAACGTGTCAAGAATTCTCGCTCTAATTGGTCCCAACTATCCACTGACCCAGCAGGAAGGTCAGTGTACCATTCAAAGGCTGCGTCCTCCAAGGACCGGACAAACTGTTTCACCATGAGATCCCCATAGGTGCCAGCATTGTTGCATGTTTCAACAAAATGGGCGACGTGTTGCCTTGGGTTGCCCTTCCCATTGAACTTTTGGAATTTTGGTGGCTGGTAGCCGTCCGGTAGGCTTAGATTATCAATCCTACGAGTATAGGGCTTGGCATACACAAGTGAGGATTGTGAGGTCCCTCCTTGTCGAGCTCGAATCACATCATCAACTAAAAGTTTAAGTTGCGGAAATGTAAGAGATGCCACAGTAGCATGAGCAGTGTCACGGAAAGCACCTTGGAGAATTGTTCGATCTAGTTGCTCTTGCTTTTGTTGCTCCAAGCTTTCCTCCATGGTAACTTGCTTACCTCGATCTGAAGTCCTTAATGAGTCTTCCTTGTTTTCGAGGGCTTTTTCAGCGACTGAGCTTGATGCTGCTTGGTTATTCTGTTTTGATAAGTGTTGAGCCGCTAAAAGTTCTTGGAGTTCCTTGATTTGGGCATCCTTTTCAGCCACAGCTTTCCTTAAGCCTTCCACAGCCTTAAGGAGAGCATCCGGGTCACCAGATGTCGCTTCAGTAACCAAGGCAGGTAAGAGGGACTCAGACGATGATGAAGGATAGTCAGCCCACCTTAACTTCGAAGTAGACACATGACTGGGCTTGAGACTAAGTTCTTCACCTTCACTAGATTCTGAAGAGAAGTACTTGACATCCTTCACAGGCTGGAAAGGTGACTGGATGGTTAATGCTCGTTTTTTTATTGCAGCCTCCTTACGACGTCTTCTAGTGAATTGCCTCAAGGGGGAGACCAACTTGGATCTCGTCATGCGTGCTTTGGCACGAGTCAACAAGGAAGATTGATTGGAAAAGATTTGAACTTTTCGAGTTGCAATAGGAGTTATAGCTTGCTTTGAGTCCGCCATGCCTAGAAAGATATGGTGGAAATTTTTTTTTTTTTTCTTCAACTGAAAGATGAGAGGCAGAGATTTCCCCAGTGGAGTCGCCAAAGATGTGTAGTCACAAAATCTGCAAAATCAAATAATATGTATTGATTTGCAAAATA